TGTTATTATTTCAAACTATATGTAGAATTAGTAAATATGGTAGGCATATTTATGTAATTATATACTTTTTTTCATAATAATATAATATATACTTTATATATCTAGAAGTAAAAGTGTAGCATGGTAACTCTTAACGGATTAACGATTTTGCCTGGTAAGAAACTTGAGTAATCAACATCGCATCGATAAGCCGTTAATTATAAAATTTTAATGAGCAACTTTCACATATAGCAAACATAAAAATCATATTTGTATGTTATACCTATAGTTTGCATAATTGCGCTCCATAGCAAATTTTATGTTTGATATGGAGCTTTTGATTTGTATAATTCGCTAGATACATCCAATTTTATACAAATTATTCAGTTTTGTATAAATTCATTTATACATTGTAATTTGTAGGGAAAAGGGTAAAAAATGCCCTCCCTTTATAGTTTGGCTCAAAAATGTCCTTACCGTTAATACTTTGGTCCAGAAATGCCCCTATAGTTACAAAATGGGTCAAAAATGCCCTTTTCCGAATAAATATATATTTTTTCTTTTTAAACACATCTTCTTCTTAATTAAATATTATTAAAGAACACTATTCTTGTTTTCTTTCTTCTAAAATCACTTTAACAAATAAAAAGGTAGGAAATATTTTTTTTCTTCTTAATCTCATTTTATCAATTAAAATAGAATAACGGCATGTACCCTTTGAACATATAATATATGTCATATATAAGATTATAGTATATCCATAATTAATTTATATTTATATAACGATAAAAAATAAGAAATATTTTCATTTTTTATTTTTTTCTGAATTGAAGTAGGATAAACATTTGCTAATTTTTTTAAAAAACATTATTAGAAAAGAATGTGTTCAAAAAAAAAATATTTATTTGAAAAATGAGCATTTTTGACCCATTAAATAACAATAAGGGTATTTTTGGACCAAAATATTAACGACAAGGGCATTTTTGGACCAAACTACAAACGAATGACATTTTTGTTCCTTTCATATAGTTTAAGGGCATTTTTGAACCAAAGTATTAACGGTAAGGGTATTTTTGAGCCAAACTATAAACGGAGGGCATTTTTGTTCCTTTCACATAGTTTAAGGGCATTTTTGACCCTTTTCCCTAATTTGTATAATAAGATCTGTATTTGTATAATTATAAGTGTATAGGACGAAAATATATGTATTTGTATTTGTATATACACTTTTCTCTCAATTTATACAAACACAGATGCATTTTATACATTTGTATACCGAATGGGTAATTTTATACCAAAAATGGCTAATTGTATACCGAACCAGATGGCAAAAAAATGGGATGTTTGTTGCGAATTACAAATAAAATAAACTATGGCTATAGTATTTAATTTGAATCAATAGTTTGCTATTTCATACAATTTTCCCATTTTTAAGCTATTCACCAACCGTTTATCCAATAATTCAATATCATAATAAATCAATTTTACGATTAACTAATCGATTACAATTTGATTTCGAAGAACCCTATTAAGAGGTTAGCTCATTTGGTGAACTTCATGCGTTAAGGTGGAGGTGTCAAACTCGTCAAACAATGGAACATTCCCATCCTCTTTTCTTCCTCCCCTCCCTTGATATAATAAAAGAAAAATTATATTTAAAAAAAGAAGTAACAAAGATGGAAAGAAAAAGGGAAAATTGTATGAAATAGAAAACTATTAATTCAAATTAAATGTTATAGTCGTAGTTTCTTTTATTTGTAATTCGCAGCAAATATTCCATGTTTTTTGTCATCCCATTTGTATATCGAAATATACAAATGCAAGACCCATTTGTATACCGAAATATACAAATAGACCCAAATACATATTTTTTTATGTATATGTATACTGAAATATATAGATTAATATTTGTTATGGAGCGCAATTATACAAACTATAGCTATAGCATACAAATATGATTTTTATATTTGCTAAACCTAAAATTTACTCAAAGAAAAAAGCCTTTTTTTTTTTGTATTTGTATAGTCTATAGTCCCCTAATATTTCGCGGGTCCGATAGGTAAAACGAATTTTTCTCCTTCCATTTTCCTGGTAAAACAGGAAATGCCTACTGGGAACCAAGATTTGTCCATTTTCTTTCCCTAAACATTTACTTTATTTATCAATGCCCACAAATCTTCTAACTAAATAATGATCATGTATCATGTGATCATCACACTACATAAAGTGCACCTCTAATTACATTTATTCTCTGCAAATTTCTATGCTTCTTCAATCTCAACTAATTAAAAATACAATCTGGCATTGATTTTGTGAATTGATTTGCAATTTTAAGGAGAATGTCTGGTTTTGTTGGCGTTGTCGTTTCTGATCAATGGCTTCATAGCCAATTCACACAAGTCGAGCTCCGTGGCCTTCATGCCAATGTATGTCTAATATTCTCTTCATAATGTATCGTTTCATATTATATTGTATTGTTTTGATGAACACTGACATTATTGAATTGATTGTATCGTTTTGTAATGTCACATACTAGCAATATGATCGAATAATCTTACAATTATAAAGAAAAAATAAGGTATGGGCCGGCCGGGTGGATTTGTTATAAAAAGAAGGTGGATAAAGAGTGAAATGGGATTTCTGTATCTATTGGAACTAGTCGAGGTATGCGCAAGCTGGTTGGGACACCACAGTTATAAAAAAAAGAGAGGGTGAAATAGGATTGTTGTATCTATTGGAATTAGTCGAAGTATGCGCAAGCTGGTCGGGACACCACAGTTATAAAAAGTTATAAAAAAAGAGAGAGAATGAAATAGGATTAGAAAGTGGTAACAATGCTATCACACCAAACTTGTGGTTACATAACAATGAATTTCTGTATTTGTTGTTGGTGAAAGGTATCAAGTATCGGGTGAAATTAGTCAAGGTGTGCGCAAGCTGGTCGGGACACTACAGTCAAAATAGAAAGGGCGCAATAGGATTAGAAAATGGTAACAATGGTATCACACCAAACTGTGGTTACATAACAGTGGATTTAACGATACAATACAATAAATACTTTAAGTAACAAAGAAAGCGAACATTGTATTTAAAGTAACACTACGATACGAGACAATACAATGTGTAACAACAACCATCCAAACTTGTTGTTAATTGAGTTTGTTAATTCTTTTTTTGTTGTCCTGGAATTTCTTGTTGTTGTTAAGCTGAAATTTGGTTACAGTTTGTTTCTGCGTCGAATGAATCTGGAAAGGCCACACTGGGCAATCTACCACCTGTTATGTGCAAACTTAAGGCCTTGAAGGATATTCTCAGTGCAGATGACATTAGCCGCATATTAAGCGAGTCAGCTACTGATGCGACTGAAGAGATTGATTTTGAATCCTTTCTTCGGGTGAGTGCCACACATTTTCGTCGTGTTTTTGTTTATTTCTCTGTTATCTTAGTTTTATGGACCAGTATGTACGTTTGGGATTCAAAAGAAATGAACTACAACTCTGGCTTTTATACATAAATTCCAAATGTCATAAAGTTTGTGGTTGTCTAATTTACTCTTGACATGTTTGGCTTTCATCTTCGTCATATCGTTATTGCTGTGATGAGTGAAATCAATGAGCTTATCAACCTGCCTTAAGCTGAAATTCTCTCAGACCTTTACTTGGTTATCCTGATATTTTTTTATCTTTATTTCTTATGTGTGTCTCATAAGTTTTGTCTATCGGGAACAGTCTCTCTACTTGCCAAGGTAGGGGTAAGGTTTGCGTAAACTCTACCATCCCCAGACTCCACTTGTGGGACTATACAGGGTTTGTTGTTGTTGTTGTTGTCGTGTCATAAGTTCCCTGTGTCAACTAAAGTGTGGTTTGTTTTTGGCTGGCTAGTTATATCTAGATCTACAAGGACGAGCAACTGCTAAATTGGGTAATACAAAATTAAAAACGTCGTCCTCTTTCCTCAAGGCCAGAACAACCACAATTCGTCACAATATTAGTGAATCTGAAAAGGCATCATATGTTGCACACATCAATAGCTTTCTCAGAGAGGACAAGTTTTTGAAGGATTTTCTTCCTATAGATCCATCTGGTAATGCACTCTTTGAACTCGTAAAAGGTGGCGTTGTTCTGTGGTAAGTGTTACTCCCTCCGTCCCAATTTAAGTGTCTTAGTTTGACTTGACACAGAGTTTAAGAAATAAAGAGAAACTTTTGAATCTTTTCATCTTAAACTAAAACTATGTAGAATGTACCAAAAATGCCGTTTAATCTTGTGTTTTTTAAAAATGTCACGTGGAAAGTTAGAAAGCAAAGACTTTCCAATAAAGGAAAGAGACATTCTTTTTTAAAACGGACTAAAAATAAAAGTAAGACAAATAAATTGAATTAGAGGGAGTAATTAGGATAAATATGATGATTATATCGGGGAGATTCTTGTTTCAATTAATCATTTGATCACTTGCATGTTTATTGATTCATTAACTAAACCATGTAATGCAGTAAGCTTATCAATGTTGCCGTCCCTGGTACTATAGATGAGCGTGCAATCAATACGAAAAAGGTTCTTAATCCATGGGAGACAAATGAGAATCACACTCTTTGCCTCAATTCTGCAAAAGCAATCGGTTGCACAGTCGTCAATATTGGCACACAGGATTTAGTTGAAGCACGAGTATGTAAAATCTCCTACATATGAATTACTTAATCATCAGTATTATAGCTGCTGATGTTTCTTATGTTTTTTGTTCCCTTAGCCTCATCTGGTTGTCGGGCTGATTTCTCAAATTATCAAGGTATTTTTCTACTACTATACCTGTTCCATATGTTCTTCGTGCAGCTGGAAATGTTACTTGTATCATATCTGATGTTCTTGTTTTGAAAAAAAAAAACAGATACAACTATTAGCTGATCTCAATTTGAAGAAAACACCGCAACTTGTGGAACTGGTGGAGGACAGCAAGGTTTGCTAATAGTTGATTGGTTTCTCCTGTTTTTGGTTCTAACGCGGAGTAATGCTTGTAGAAGTTCTAATGCACCTTGTAGGTAAAATAATAGTAGTAAAATTTGCAGGATGTGGAAGAGCTCTTAGGTTTAGCTCCAGAAAAGGTTTTATTGAAATGGATGAACTTCCATCTAAAGAAGGCAGGCTATAAGAAGCAGGTCAATAATTTTTCGTCTGATTTAAAGGTAAGATAGTTTTACAAATTCAATATCAAACTACCTTTCTAGAAATTGGTAGCACTATATTTCGAAGGACATCTATTGTTTCCTAGAAATGAAGTTTACACTAGCACAGTTGGATGTATCTGTGAGTATTTTGCTAAAAATATAACCCTGAGTTCTGTTATCTGTTTAAATCATTCAATATGGATCGTTATTCGTTACAGTCTCTCTTTCTCATATTTGTCCCAACCGGCACTGCACAATCGATATGTTGCTTCATTGAGAAATATGGAACAAGATAATTTTCTGCTTCATTTGCACATTGGCTAGTCCCCAATGTAAACCATCCATGTATAGCTGTTAAATCTGTGACGCGTTCCTATTAAGTTATTTAAGATTTAGAGTTGGCAATACAACACAAGCATTTTGCTAAAATTAGCAAAAGAGAGCATGTCACCATCAAATAATGTCATTATATTCTCTCTTCGTTAAACGGTTAGCTTTTCTGTCTTGTTATGGATTATCAACTTAAATTTGACATAACATATGAAACTCAGAATTTTCTTGTCTTCTTTCAGACTGAGGTCTAGAAAACTAGGCATACACAAAGCAGGAAAATCTAATTAGTCTGCACCTTAGTTCATCTGTGAAAGTAGGATTCTCAAACTCTATTTCTGATGTTTGTTCTCTGTTCGCTGCAGGACGGAGAGGCCTATGCTCATTTACTCAATGCTCTTGCACCTGAACATGGTACAACCAACACACTAGATACGAAAGATCCAACTGAAAGAGCAAATTTGATTATTGAGCAAGCAGAGAAACTCGATTGCAAAAGATATGTTACCCCACAGGATATTGTTGAGGGATCCCCAAACTTAAATCTTGCATTTGTTGCACAAATATTCCAACACAGGTCAGATTAACAAGTTCATTTCCATAGACCAATTATCTACTTCCATTTTTTTGTTCATTAAGTTATAATCCGGTTTCAAATATTATAGACCAAAAAACCTCAAGCTGAAAGGTGAGCTGAATTAAGCCAACTCTCAAGCTTAGCTTAGTTTTGTTTAAGATCAGCATTCTTCAATAATCTTTGCCTTTGATTGAGAGATATCGTGACAAGAATGCTAATAACTAACGTATAAGCTGCTGCTTCTGTTCAGCAGTCGATGTTTCTACTTGTAACTGATTTGATATCATTTGGTAAAAGATTAACTAATTGATTGTATGAACCCTCGTCTACTATTCAAGTAATGATTTTGAATGAATAGTAAGATAATCTATTAAAAGTTGATGCTTACGATATGTGGAGTTCACAATGATGTACTTTTCCGTCTATTAAAGAGTTTCTTTTTTCATGGTCTAGGAATGGATTGTCAGTGGACACCAAGAAAATATCTTTTGCTGAGATGATGGAGGATGATGCTCAAACATCTCGAGAAGAAAGATGCTTCCGGTTGTGGATTAACAGCCTTGGAACTGATACCTACATAAATAATCTATTTGACAGTGTCCGGACTGGGTGGGTACATTGCTTCTTTGTTCGACATTATTTAGACATTATAAATGTGAGTTGATGATAATCCTCTTAACATACAGGTGGGTGCTCCTCGAGGTACTCGATAAAATTGCACCAGGATCAGTCAACTGGAAGCAAGCAACAAAACCCCCAATTAAGATGCCTTTTAGAAAAGTTGAGAATTGCAACCAAGTCATACGGATTGGAAAAGAACTAAATTTCTCCCTTGTGAATGTAGCTGGAAATGATATTGTACAAGGAAACAAGAAGCTCATATTAGGTAGTGATACTCTCTTTTGAACCTCCATTTTGGCATTATTCTTCATTTTCATGCCAAAAATTATAAAGAGATTTATGTTGTTAATGTGCAAAGTCAATTCTTTATAGTGAATATGATGGATATCGCAAACATTTGGCGATGTGACTTTAGATATGATTTAGGTGTTATTAATTGTTCTATTGTTAGAGATGTAAAATATTTGTTTTCTTTTCTCAGCCTTTTTGTGGCAGCTAATGAGGTTCACAATGCTGCAACTGTTGAAAAACTTGAGGTTTCATGCCCAAGGGAAGGAAATAACAGATGCTGACATCCTAAATTGGGCAAACAAAAAAGTGAAGAGTGCAGGCAGAAAATCTCAAATAGATAGCTTCAAGGTGATAAAAAAAAAGAAGCTTCAAGACCAATATATCAGTTTCTGTTTCACGGTATCTGAGTTTCGTTGTTTTGTTCTGTTAGGACAAAAGTCTATCAAATGGGATGTTCTTCTTAGAACTTCTTAGTGCAGTCGAGCCAAGGGTCGTGAATTGGAGCGTTGTAACCAAGGGGGAAACAGGTACACACTTATAACATGAGGATTCATTTATATGCAAATAGAGAAGATTCAGTGAGTTGAATAGTCATATACTCATCTTTCCACTCAATTAATAGTTATTATCTCAGAAAGTCATTTTCTTTGTTGAAGAAACTTGGAATTAAGAAGAAAGCCGACTTTCTGAGATAATAACAATTAATTGTTTGACCATCTGAGAAAAGATTTTCTTCTCTTTGTGACTGATTAAATAATCTGAACGATGACTTGTTTCTTTGGGTTTGATGAAATATACTGATGATTATGAATGCAACTGCAGACGAGGATAAGAAGCTTAATGCAACTTACACAATCAGTGTTGCACGGAAACTTGGATGCTCCATCTTCTTATTGCCAGAGGATATAATAGAGGTAACATATCAGATAACAAACTGCTTTTTTGTGCCCGCATTTTGTACACCATAGTAGATCGTTATATATTTAGACATGCCATATCACGCAGATCAAAAGTTATATTGCATGCTACAGCCCAGATTCATTCAGAAAAAAACTTCCAATGAACACCATGAAAACCAATTTAGCTGTACCATTAGTGTTCTGCTTCATGTAATAGCACCAAAATGTCTCTTTGCTTCATAGCTAGTAGCAATTTCCTTGTTCATGACCATTGACCATAAAACTTCTTGATGTCTGCATCCTGGCAATTTCTTATTTATGAAATCTTAGCTTCCGAAGAATCAATTCTTCTCCTCGAGTCCTAAACTGACTTTGCCAAACAGGTAAACCAGAAGATGATTCTTACTCTCACAGCAAGCATCATGTATTGGAGCTTGCAACATAAAGCTGATACTCCAGAGACCATCCCTGAAGAAGACACTGCTGCTTCTGATGAATCTCCGGCTGCACCCAGTGATGGTGAGAATGCTGCTTCCTGAGTCACAGAAAAGGAGCAGCAACAAGACAGATAGAGAGATATTCATGAAAATAAGCATAGATAATATTGTTCGTATTGTCACTGATGGATTGGTGGGAATGCTTCTTCCGATTTGATCCTCAACTCTTGTTTTCAAGAGGACAAATCTCATATAGTTGGTTAATATGTTAAGTACCTATAAATTCATTAGTTGCGTTTCTTTATCACCACAAAGTGGTTAGGGTGGTACAAGGCAAGAAAAAAGTAACTTGTATATTTTTAAAGAATGTTTAGGCTCTCTGGACTTGCAGATTACCAGGGGTTTCAAATAGACAGCTATCTTGTTTTCTTCATGAGACTGATATGAGATTTGAATGAAAACTTGCATGATACTTTACCTCGTCATTTCTTGAAGCAGTTATATTTACATTGTTCTTTTATAAATGATGGATACAATCAAAAGACCAAGCCAGTTAGTTAAAAGAATGCGAAGAAAAAGAAAAAAAAAACTGTTCCAATTGCCAAAAGTGTAACAAGAACTTCACATATAAGATCATTTTTATTTTCCTCTTGGGGATTAACTTTGCTACATGAACAAAACAGTACATTTATAAGATTCAAAAAATAAAAGAAATAAAACTCATATAAGTTCTTGTTCACTACTTGCATTACATTCAAGCCCATTAGTTCTTTCTTGTTCTGCAATTTGCATGAGCATCTCAAGGCGCTTGTCAAAAAGTAATGCACTCTCATCTCTCTCATCGAGTTCGGCAGCTTCAGCTTCGAGCCATTTCTCTCGCAGATCGTCCAAAACGTTTCCTTCAGCTGTGCTGCTCATCTCAGCTCCTGGAGCACTTGGGGCAGTTGTACGAAGTGCAGAATCGCCAGATGGTGGTGGTAGGGTCAAAAGCATTGCCCTAAACTCTTGGGTATCCGCAAATGTCTCAAAGTTACATGCCATTGCGTCTAGACAATACTCCCGAATCTTTACAACACCATACCTAAAAGTATAAACCAAAGAACTTAGCTTTATTAAGCAAAAATACAATGGAAATAACCCAGACACGGTCGTTGATTTGTGGAGCATTCTCTTTTAGCTTTCGTATAGTTCATTTAGTAAAAACATCTCCATTGACTGGAGAAGCAACACCTTAGCTACTTCCTCTTTGTATGACAGACATTAATACTAAGCCTTGTCCAAGATGCCACATCAAATGCACTGGATAAATTTCCTTTTGTTAACCAAGTCCATGATAGGCATGGATCAAATTGATCATATGACATGTCACCATCAGATGAAAGCTTCCTAAATGTGTTTGGTGCATTTCCTGCTGAATCAACATCATCTCCATATCTCCTTATTAGAAAAGAACTTTCAAAAGAACACTGGAAATAAGCATCTAGAGTCTGATACATTAAGCAGGAACAAACATGCTAGTGCTCAGAACACAAGCCTTCTAACACCTCGATCGCTAGCTCATGCATGTGCTCTTGAGTCATACATTGTAATAAAGAAGCTAATGATGTCGTGAGTTTTTAACTTTTCATTTTTTCTTGATAAGGAAGTTAGAGAATCGGAATCAAAATTGTTTCTGATTCATGAGTAGTGAAGTATCTTTTTTTTTGGGCATAATACATAAATAGACACTTAAAGTTGGCTTCAACGGGCAACTAAACAGTCCAACTTTGAAAATGCACATCTAGACACCTCAACTCGTCCAAACGGTGTCTCGTGGACACCTGACGCTGACGTGGCACATTTGGAGGTGTCTACATAATTATTTTGTAAGTTGGAGTGTTCAACTAACCACCGGAGAGAGACAAGTTGAGGTGTCTAGACGTGCATCCTCAAAGTTGGACTGTTTAGTAGTCAGTCAAGGCAAAGTTAAGGTGTCTATCTATGTATTATGCCCTTTTTTGCCATAAACCAACTCTTACAAGTTTGGGAGCAGTTACAATAATGTTGTTCATAGGTCTTAATGCATATTACACTTTAACTCTTGCTCTTCTAGATAGATAGTAAGAGATGATCAATGACAGGACTATTCACACAAAATCAAACTTACACACAGGAATTTTAGCTTTAAGTTTAAACATCCAAACAGACTGATTAGAAGATGGTGATAATCCATAACCAAAGAGATCAAAAAATTTCCTAGATGTTGGTATACACTTGCAAAGGAATGTGAATACAATTTAGGCATATTGGTATATAAAGAAGGAATATGACTAAAGAAGACAGATATCACATACATGTCCGACAATACCAGCCAATGGCACAACTCAGCAGGAGAAACCATTTCCAAATGTGGCAGCAGTGCATCTGCTACGACACGTTTAAGGGGAAACAACAGGTACCTTGAAGCAGCATCAAACATTTCTTCAGCCTGGTAAAAGAGATTACATGCATCATAAATTAAACTATCCGAGCAATCAATGCAGAGGAGAAAGAGACGGCTAATTATGGCAACTATTCTATAACTAGAAATTCAAACAACATACTTGATCAGGGTCAATGTCCTTCAACCCATCAGTATACCTGTTTAACAAAATATGATCTTGTTAGCAAGAGGTTAGAAGATGAAACAACTGAAATAAGCACAGCTGAAAGCCAAGTCACATGTCATTTGAGTCACACCAAGCGAGTTTGTTAAGGAGGGCTAACTGAGTCATACTGGTTATCAATTAAAGGTAAAATCACATAAATGTTGTTGATAATGCAACAGACACATACTGAAATACAGCAGAGTAACTCCATTTTATTAAGGGAAAAGGGTTAAAAATGCCCTTAACGTATCTCAAATGGTTCAAAAATGCCCTCCTTCCACCTTTTGGTTTAAAAATGCCCTCAACGTTTTTTAAGGTTTAAAATTGCCCTTTATTAACAGCACAATGACATGGCAATTGTGACATGGATTTTCTTTATCTATTTCAAAATATATGACCCACTTAGTCTAGAAATCCATTTCAAATCTGACCCGATATGACCGATTAATTTTGGATCTTTTGTTCCCGTTTGTTCTAAGTTCTAACTCTCTTCTTTCTTCCTACCTCCTTCAATTCGTCTTCTTTTTCCATTTCTCAGTTAATTTCAAGAAGAAAAGGAAGGAAGAACTATAAAGAATAAGGTTAGCTAAATCTTGAATTTGTTACTTGCTGACATTGAAACTTTCAAGAAGAAAATAAGATTTATCTTCCTTTGGTTCTGAAGCCTCCTGCTTCCAACTATAAGCACCACCATTCAAGCTAATGCCAACCAAAAAATCCAATTCCCAAGAAAATGAGCCTTAAAACCAAAAGCTTCATTTGCCATCTCCACCCACAATTTAGTCCTAGCAAAGACTCTCTGGCCTTCTTCAGCCTAAAACTTGAAGAGAAGCTCTAATTCGTGCCCAACAATTTGCAATTTACAGACATCTTTAATAGAATCCTCCTATATATCTTCAGAAAATGCCTTGAAAGCTTAGGAGCAAATCGATCCAGAGCAGAAAAGCTCATCAAAAGTCAATAATTGACCTGAATTTCAACAATTCTCAAGCAAAAACATCTCATAATTCCAACATAAAGCTGAAATTGATCAATATCAAGATTCTGCTGTAAACCCACCTTTACAAACTCCTAATCAAACTCCTAAAAAAGCAAAACATTACCTAAGTTGCAGAGTAATGGAATCAACTGTGTAAAAAATTGAAGAAACAAAAAGTATTATCTGAAGAACATAACTAGAGGTGTTGTGATTTGCAACCCTCAATCGCCATCGTCGGATGCTACAAAAGAGGTTGAGAGTGGTCCTAAAATGGAGCTCAAAGATAAAATAGGTTAATATGAAAATGGGTTTTTGGGTGGGTTTAAGTTTTGTAGCACAGATGGGTCGGGTAGTTGGGCTGGATTTTAAAAATTAGGTGGACCAATAAGATAAAGTCACTTGGCTAATTAAATGAGTCATCATTTATTATGTTAGTGGGCTGTTAATAAAGGGCAATTTTAAACCTTAAGAAAACGTTGAGGGCATTTTTAAACCAAAAGATGGAAGGAGGGCATTTTTGAACCATTTGAGATACGTTAAGGGCATTTTTAACCCTTTTCCCTTTTATTAATTAATTTATTTTATATGGGAAGGGGGGA